GTTCATGTGTTAGCAACAAGTCCAAAGCAGATGCTACCTCCTGCTCACTTGGTCTAATCAGCATGTCATCAATATTTTGGACCAGTGTGATATTTTGTGGAAGAGAGAGATGATCCAAACTCCCTTTGAGCTAAGTTATGACACAAGGATGGAAAGTTAATATACCCTGAGGTAAAACTGTAAAGGTATACTGCTGGCCTTGCCAAATGGAAGCACTATGCTCTGGTGGTCCTTATAGGCACGCAGTGAGCAGAGGCGTGTGCTGACTCAGGAGCGGCAGACCACAGACCAGGAGATATGTTAACCGGCTCAGGCAAGGACATCCCACGTGCCACAGCAGCTGCAGTCAGAGCCACTACTTGACTAAGTCTGTGATAGTCAGATGGCATTCTTCATAATCTATCTGTCTGCACTGGTCAAATAGAAAAGCTAAAGGAAGATGTGGTGGGAACCACCATTCCTGTACCTTCCATGTCCTTGATGGTGGCACCAATTTTTTGCAGTTCTCCAGGGAGGCAATACTAGTAGAGGCCACCTCAATGGCTTCCACCTGGCCTTTTCAACCACAATCGCCCTCACTCTCCAGGGTAGAGAACCAGGGTGGGAATCCTGCCAACTTTAGTATATCTATCCCAAAGATACACTCTGGAACTGGGGGAACAACCAAGGGCGAGTGCAGCCATTCCAGACTTCCAGAACACAGAAACGTGCCATGGGTGACAGTGCACAACCTCAGCACGCCAAAACAGCACAGTGAGATCAAGCACCACACTGCCTCTTCTCACCATGCACACCCAGCCCAGAGGATGGCTCAGTACATGTGTCCCTTGTCCAGCTGTCTTCTCTGTTGACAGGACTTTCTCTTCTCTAGTTTCAAATGGCACCATTTCTGCTTTCCACACACTTGAATAAGTTCTCTCTTCCCCTTGCTGTGTGGACTTGTTGTGCTGGAGTCAACAACTAAGTCCTGAATGGTCCAGCGAGCCACCATGGCTGAGCTGTTCTAGTGTTACATCTGGATGAGAAGGTCCCCGCTGGAAGTGGTACAGCAATTATCTGGGAGGCCACTCCTCCTCTTCTCCTGCCTCCCTTTCTCTTCTTTCCTCCCCACCCCTCCTCTTCTCCTGCCTCCCTTTCTCTTCTT